GCGGCCACTGCACTCCAGTCTGGGCAACAGAGTGAGACTCTAACTCAAAAAAAAAATTTTTTTTTTTTAAAGTGATCTTATATTTAAAAAGCAACTTCAGCTGGGTACAGTGGCTCACACCTATAAACCCAGCATTTTGGAAGGCCGAGATGGGAGGATTGCTTGAGCCTAGGAGTTTGAGACCAGCCTAGGCAACATAGTGAGATCTTGTCTCTACAAAAAAATCAAAAAATTAGCCAGACATGGTGGCACCTGTGGTCCCAGCCACTTGGGAGACTGAAGCAGGAGGATCACCTGAGCCCAGGAAGTCAAGGCTGCAGTGAACCAGGATTATACCACTGCACTTCAGCCTGGGCAACAGAGTGAGGCTCCACCTCAAAAAGGCAACTTCAAATTCAAAAGCAACTCTATTTTTAGATTTACCTTTCTTCTAATTTGATTAGAGATTAGCACAAACATCATAAAAAGTTAGATGTTGCAGATAGAAATTGCTTTCTCCCAGAGAGAACAACTGGAACTTATTATTATTTATTGGGAGTATCAGAAGCATTATTCAGTAAGTCTGTATTTTAATAGCCATAGCAGCACCATGCATTTGGAAATTGTAGCACACACATATATAAGACATTCATTATAAGATACTTTATGAGAAAATGCTCCATGAAAATGGGATTTTGCAGACACCTTGAAATAACTCAGAAGTCCCCAGGAGTGACTCGTCTAGACTTTTTGGAACCAATGCAGAAAAGTATTTTAAACTGAGGCGCTCCCTCTGTTCTTGAGTAAGGTAAGCCAGGGCTGGAGGTGCCACATCTCAGGCTCCAGGCTAGTGATTGGGAGCTCAGCAAACCATGTGGTAGGCTCCTCGAGGAAGGGCTGGAGGGGTCCCAGAGCCCAGATCCCCTGCTGAGCGTGCCTGGAGCTGTCTCTCCAGGGCAGGTGGGATCATGACCCTCCCTTTTTCAGGCACTGAGATCGGTCTCCATGGGGTCCATCTGCTTCCTGAGACCCAAGGAGAGTATCTCCAGCCAAGGGAATGAGTTCTCAATTCGTGGCCTTGTAGGCTTGGACAGTTCCTGTTCTATCTCCATACCTGAGTTTGTTCATCTGTGCCTTGAATGCTTGAGTTATGTGAACCATGAGGTCCCTTGCAGTGGTGATGTTCTTAGTCAGGTATGGCTGGACCTGCCTCACAGGCAGTCTTGAAGACACCCATATTTTCATCTTTGCTCTGGTCAGCATTTGCTGTGGAGGAAATGAGGGCATGTAAGACACAAAGTACTGGCAGTCCTCATGTAGGCTCTTTGAAATCCTTCCATTATTTGACTCTGACAGCGCCACCTGAAGGAGGTGCCACCAGGAGCCGGCCAGCAGCATCTTAGGACCACTGTGAGTTACAGAACTTGGCTTGCAGAGGGCCATTCAGCCTGGCTTCTTGGCCTGGTTTGGGTTTGGAGTTTGCCCCACACAGCTGGGAAGCATCAGGCTTTCCCCACTGTGTTCTCTCTCCCCACTATAGACATTGTCTCCCCTTGTGACAAAATATGCTGAAAGCTGGTTGTGCTAGCCTCCTCCTACCTGCACCCAGGGTTGCCAGGTCTGCCCTGGCCAGAGAGGGGCTAGTCCACACAGGGGATGCCGTTCTGCTGCCCCTGCCAGGAGACAGCTAGAAGTGATGTCACCAGGGGCTCTCCCAAGACTGCTGCCCTTGTTTAGAGACCATGCCATGAGGTGGATGATGCCATTCTGGAATCAGACTGCTCTATTCAAACTGCCAGCTCCGCTACTTCCTGCTTTTGTGACGTTGGGCAGGTCACTTAATATTTCCATGCTTCAGTTCCCAGTCTCCTAAATAGAAATGACATGACTCAGGTCATAGGGCTTGGGGGGCGGGGATTGTGTGAGGCTTGCAGGTAAAGCACTCAGCAGAGTGTTTGCTTTTCAACACCATTGTTTTTGTCATTGTCATCAGAGCCATTATTCCCTTAGAAGTTCACACACCACTTGGCCTGCACTGTGGGGGACCTGGCCATGTACTACCTTCCTTCCCATCTGCAGCTCCCTGGTAGGCTGTTGCTAGGCCAGGGCAGCCCTGAGTCCCCCAGGTAAGAAAAAACAAGGCCTTCCTCCCCAGGGGGCCATTTAAGCTAAGCCTGTGGCCCTGACTTGCCAAGTACCAGGTACTTGTAATGCCTTGGGCCCCATGTGGCAGCCTGAGCACCCTATAGCTCCTGGTAGGAAGGGGCTCACTGCAGACTTCGGTGTTAACAGTGTTAAACAAGACCAGGCCAGGGCAGAAGGCAGCTTCTGTTCATTCCCCACCTGCTCTGTATAAGGCCATGGGCAGTGGGGCCTCCTCCACCACCAAGACATGAGCCTGTCTGGCCACAGGACTCTGCTGTCCCAAGAAGAGCTACAGAATATACCAGGAGGAGCTCTGCAGAAAACCAGCCAGGGCAGGGAAAAAGATGAACCAGGAGATAAGACAGTAGATGCTGGCCATCTGCAGAGGGAAAAGGAGTGTCTAGGAAATTGTTAGTGATGATAAGAAATGCTAAGGAAGCCTTGACCTGGACTGCTGCACTGGCCACTGCAGCAGCCACGTGTCTGCTGAGTGCCTGAAATGTGGCTGCACTGAACTGATATGTGCTGTAGGTGTGAAATGCACACTGGGTTCAAAGGCTTAGGACACAGAAGAAAAGATAGAGCGTCTTGTTAGTCATATTTGTATGACTGCTGTATTGATTACATATTGAAATGCTCATATTTTGTATATATTGAATTAAGACATTAAAATTAATTACACCTGTAGTCACTGTTTCTGTAGGACAGTGAGCTTGAGAGACTGAGGCGCTCTCTGTCGAAGACTGAGGCAGGAACCACAGGGCTTGCTATGCCTGCTGGAGCAAAAGTACATTCTGAACAATATCAGTTTCCAAAAGCAAAGGCTCTGTTGCCTCTTCCCCAACTCAAAAGAGCATGGAAGAGATTGCCTGTGAGCTCATGTTTACCACCCCAGACTCCTGTCCGTCTGTAGTGTCCATGTCTGTCTTAGGCTAACGAAGAATTGAGATATTTTGATGTCCTCAGAAGACACTGGGAACTTACAGCCACATGACTCCTGGGGAAGTCACAGTGGCTGCCCACCCAGAGGCTTCGTTCTGGGCTCTGGCACTGTGTCACATGCCTAGATCTTCTGGCCACCAGAGGATAGATGTGCCCACTCTCGCCCCGGAAATGTGCACCATGGGGATCATCAAACCTTATTAAATAGCAGTTCCGCTTAGCAATTACAGAGCTCAGAATTGTGCCCTTTAGGAATTCACATCAAATGAGCTTCAGAGAGGCTTCAGGCAAATGAGGAAAGCACAGCCATCAGTTCTTGAAGCAAATGAATAATTGAGCAGCCTGGAAAATGCCACGAAACACCATTTTGTACAGGCAGGTGACTGGACCTCCTGGCTTAGGTCCATGGGAAATGCAGCTCCCCTGCTTGCACCTGTTGGCACTGTTTGGCAAATACAGTATAATGTGTCAGTAGGAAAGGAACCCCTCCCAGCCATCCTAAGACTTTCTACCCATGCTGTTCTTACCCCTAAAACCCCAGCCTCCACCAGGGACCAGTGCCCACCCTCCCCCTAGCTTCTTTGGAGACCAGCAAGGCTTCAGTCTGCAGATGCGGGGATGGGGGTGAGAGGGCTTCCTGGGCCTGCTGGAGCAGAAGTATGTTCTAAACAATATCAGTTTCCCAAAGACAGAGGTTTTGTTGTCTCTTCCCCAACTCAAAAGAGCATATTTCAGTCTCGGGCAGCTCTCAAAGCTTCTCTACTAGGTCAAATTGAGTGCTTTGGACCATGGCACAATGACAAGCCACATGAAACAAGCCTTGCTCGAGAAACATCCTGCAGGTGTGCCCAGTAAAGGGCCTGGCAGATGTTAGAGAGTTGTTATCAAGGCCTTCTCTTATACTGACTGGACCTGGTGTTTTATCAACAAAGGGTCTGAAATCAGTACCCTGAGTCTGTTAGGGACCAACTCTGATATTGGAAAGGTTGTCTCCGCCTGTACAAGCCAGGCTGGTACAGAGGAATAAAAGGGGAAGTGAGAGGGAGCCCAGCTGACTTGTCCTTCTCTCCCACATGGGTTATCATAGTTCCACTGAGCAACAAGCCTCAGGTTCCTTTGGAAAGGAAGGGAGAGAAATAAGCCCTGTTTGAGCCCCTGGGCAGGGCTGGGCTGGGCTGGGCTGGTAGGAGACAAGGTATGTGTTGTTCCCTCAAACCTGACTTCGAGCCTCCAGGGCAGTGGGCTAAGTGTATGGTTCAGAGTTTGTGAGCCCAGGGCAGTGCCATGACTTGGTAGGAGAGGTCTACAGCCTTTCTTCAACTGAGCCCTCCTTCCCGGTCTTACCCATAGCACTGAAAGAGCCCCAGTGACCCTTCATCTCGACGGGATTGTGCAGGTCCTGAACTGCCACCTTAGTGACATGGCCATCGGGATGATGACCAGGATTGCTGTTCTGAAGTGGCTCTACCACCTCTATATCAAAACTCCTCGGAAGGTGAGCCCAGCCCATCCACTTATAGTCCCCTCCAAGCCAGGGAGTTTTCTGGGTCCACTGGGTTTTTGAGGGCCTGCCCATGCTTGGGAGGGTTTGGGTCATTGCAGTTCTCGAGAAACCCTGGAGCAGAGGCGTGATGGGAGCCCTAAGCGTCTTGGAGAGGGAGGTGGCCTGTGCGGGCCAGTGGGACACTACCAGGCACAGTCCTGGGGTGAGAGGAGAACTCATGTGTGCCACTGCTTCTCTGTTCTCCAGATGTTCCGACACACGGACAGCCTCTTCCCCATCCTACTCCAGACGTTATCGGATGAATCTGATGAGGTAGGCCACCAACACCATCCTTCCTCACAGAGCCCTGGCTGCCCCGCCTACCCTTGTAGCAACCTGTCTGGTCTTGTAGCTGAGATGTGCTTATTTCGTTGTTGTGCTCTTTAAATCAGCACAACAAAAAATGGTCCTCTTCTTCATACCTGGTAAGGTGCCTCCTCTCTAGAGGTAAAGCTGAGTCTAATACTCTTGCTTTGGGAGTAAAGACTCTTCTGTAGGCCCTTCTGAAGCACCTACAGCCAGAGCATCAGTGAGGAAGGCAGCAGAGAGTGGTGGGTGGTTTAGCTTTGGGGTCAGGCTGCCCACATTTGAGCAAAACACTTAGTGACTCTACATCTCAGTTTTCTTCTCTGATGAGGGTAGCAACAGCACCTGGGGGTGTGAGAATGACACGATCCAAATAAGTTGCTAAGTGCCATGCCACCCACATGCTGAGTACTCAGCTAGTCTTGGTTGTGGCATTCATTTCAGCTGGACCACTCGTTTGACATTGGATCCTTAAGCTTTGCAACCTTGGTCACTTTGTTGGGGCATCCAAGAGCTGCTGGTGCAAAGGGAAAGGCTGACCCACATCCAGACATCAGGAGTGACCCCCTCTGAGAGGACCAGAGTGCGGAGGCTGGCCTAGGGGCATGGGCATCCTGTCATAGGCAAGGGTCTTTTCCAGTGACACACCTTTCCCCCACGCCATTCTTAGCAGCATTCCTTTCCATGGAATCAGGACAAAGAAGTTCATTTCTAAGACTCTCCTGCCTCCCAACCAAGGAGCAGGATTTGCAACCAGGCATGCCCATTTACACAGGCAGCAGCATCCCGTCCATCCCCACTAGTCCTTCAGGCTGTGTGTCAAATGCTGTTAGTCTGAGCCTCACCTTGTCCCTCTTTCCTCTTCTGGGCTCTATAGCACTGTGGGCTGCAGGCAGAGCTGCATCTCCATAAGGCTTGGGCTTATGAATTGACAGACCTGCCCACACTACCCAGTGGAATATGACAGTAGACAAGGACTGGGGATTGGTGACAAAGATCACAGCTCCCTGTGGTTTTCAGTGGGCTCCTACCAGGCTTATGGGGGGCCCTGGGCATCTGTCCTGAAGCATAAATCTGCTTTCTTGAACCTGTGCTGAAGAGAAGTGGACAAATAGGTATCGGCCTTTGGGTCTCCTGAGGTTTCCTGTATTTTCAGAAAAAATCTAAAACAGATGGTCTGCAAGTATGCCTTTGACCTCTCCTGCCTACCCACCCACCCCCATAAATACACACACACACGCATGCGTGCACACACACAAACACACACACATACTCCTGCGTGCGTGCTCATGCGCTCTCTCTCCCCCCCTCCCCTCCCCCTCTATCCCCTCCCCTCCCCCTCTCTACCTCCACTCCCTCCTTCCCTCCCTTCTCCTCCCCTCCCCTTCCCTTCTTCCTCCTCCCCCCTTCCCCTCTCTCCCTCTCTCTTCCTCCCTCCCTCTCCCTCTTTCCCCTTTCCCCTCTCCCCTTCCCGCATCACCCCCTACAGTCCAAGGCCCAGGTGGACATGGCCCAGATCTGCTTGTGAGTTGGGAGTGACTCACTGCACAGTCACGGCCCTCATTTCAATACAAAAAAAGGAAGAGAGGAACTTTGCTGATTGGTTCCTTCTCTAGGACTTCACTGGAAGCAGCTGAGTTTTCAGTCCTTTAAATTGAGTTGTTTAATCCCATCCAGCTTTCTTTGCTGGAAATTGGTTTTTGTGTGCGTGAGCATTTAGAGGGAGCAAGCGGAGATGCAGTCCATTAAACTGCTCTGTTTAGGCTGTGGCTGTGGAAACTTGATTTGCTGAAGTGCCAAATGTTGTCAGGGCTTTAGGGCATGTCTTGTGGGCCTGCTGTGGGGAGAGGATTGAAGCTGCTCTTGGGGACAGCTTGGGGGGTGCCATAACAGGAGTGAAGAACCCCTATTTTCTTGTCTCTCTAGAGGAGGGATTTGGGTACCTTGATCATCAGTGGTGAGTCCTCCTTCTGTTGTCACATCCTGGTTCTTTACCAGAATCACATTCCTAAGTGTTCCCTCTTCCAGCGACCCTGAGGGTGTGCTTTGTACTTGGCAGTGGGAATACATTCATGAGCAAGATAAAGCCCATCTTCTGGAATTTCCTTTCTAGGATATCTAGAAAGTGTTCTCTGTTGAGATTTTTCAAATATTTCCAAACACAGCCCAAATCTCAAATTGGAGCTCCCTCACATTCAAGACTGTGAAGACCAAACAGGACCACAGCCAGACTGACGGGTCCCTGCCTACCAAAGGATTTACTAATGGAATTTCCCCTCATACTCTCTGCAAAGGCCTTTATGTTCAGCCTGGGGGCCTTGTAGCACAGGTTATTGGGGATAGTTCTTAGCTGTAGACAGGCATTACTGTACGAGGAACTGTGCTAGACTCTGCACTTACAGCATCTATAGAATCCTCACTCTAGTTCTCTGGGGGAAGTCCTATTTCTTCCATTGTGTAGTTCAGAAAACTAGGGCTGGTGGGGTAGAGTGGAAGTAAGTAACTTGCACACAGCTAGGAAGTGGTGGATACCAAACCCAAAGCCAGGTCTGTTTTATACCAAAGCCCAGCCATGAATTGCTTACCCACCAGAGCCATGTCTCACCCAGTGCGGTCCCAGCCACCCACATGGAAACAGCTGGAGAGGTGGGGAGCTTGCATATGGTTGTGTCATCATCTTCACATCCTTATGATTTCATCAGGGTTTTTGTTTGTTTGTTTGTTTTACCTTTTTCTGTTGTTTCATGCATTCTTGAGAAGAGTTCTTAATTTGGTTGGAGAGATTATATGTATTTTGAAAATACTCGCCCTTTGGCCCCCAGAACCCTTATGCACATTTCTTGTTGATTTCTAGAAGCTCTTTATATATTTGGGACATTCAGTTTGTCATCTGTGTTGTATCTTTCTCTCCTAAGATGATTGTAATAAACCCACATGCTCTTCTCTCTTGCTGAGAGCCACTGGCCTCGGAGGACAGAATGTGCTCAGGTGTTGGTGATGCAAGAGCTCGCATGCCCGTGCAGTCCCTTGGCCATGTAGCCTCGCTGGGGTGTCTTGTCTGCCATTGTTCCTCACTTCAGTCGACTGACAGTCCACACCCTCTGGCATCCTCAGTTGTCTCTGCATTCCTTTTATTCAGGATAAGTGGCTGTTTCCTCAGTACCGCCTGCTCCTTACAGACACGATCTGAAAATTCCTTTTGTTAGAAAGAATTTGCAGGTGTCAAATTAATATTCTTGGCACTGGAGTAGAAATGCTCCCATTAGCTAGAGATTCAATTACTTGTTTTTTAAGTGAAAATGTGACAGCATGCAAAGCAGGGTACACATTCAGAGGGTCCTGCTGGCTCCCTGTTTGGGAGGTGGCATTGCTTCTTCCCCTGTCCAGTAGATGTCATTGGTCAGCTGCCTCTCAGCCAGACAGCTGCCATGCTGCCTAAGTGAGCTCTGCCTGTGAAATGGCCATGCCCCCAGCTGTGACCCCCACAGGATGGGAGTTCCCTCCATGTTCCTGATTGTGGGACTGGCCTAGGAGGGGCCTTGGGTAATACCCTACTCCTAGGTACAATGGCCTTCCAACCTGCATTTAAAATTCCCTGGTGATCGCAGTCTCAGGAGAGACCTGGAAGGATGTCTGTTCCCCCTCTGAGTAAATGCAGACATACCACCAGACCTGGGCTTGAATCCTGGCTTTGAATCCTCACCAGGGACCCTGGGCAAGGAGTTTAACCTCCCTGGACCTGTGAAACGGGGCTAATGATATCTACACTGCCTCATAGACCTCTTTAAAGACAAAGTGTAAAGCAGCCACCTAGATCCTGGTCCATTGTGACAACTTGTCTGTCGTTAAAAATTCATTTGGAGGAACTTGGCCTCTCCACTGTGTTGAACTCTCCTACTCAGGGTAGGGCTCATCCTCATTAAGTCATCTTGATGTCCTTCAGTAAAGTATTAGGGTTATTTTTTAGAGTCCTATTCTCTCACTGTGAAGTTAGGTATTTTGTATTTTTGTTGTAATTTTGAAAGGCATCCCTTTCTGATATTATTCTCTTGCTAGGTGCAGTGTGACCTAGTGGATAACAGCATGGGCTTTGGGCTTAAGCAGTCCAGAAGTCCAGTCCAGGCTCTGCTGCTTAGTGGTTGGTTGACCTCAAGCAAGTGACCTAGCCTCTCTGAGCCTCAGTTTCCTTGGTTGGAATAAGGGAACCTCACTGCCAGGTTTGTTAGGATTACATGAGATCATGAATGTCAAATGCTCAGCTCAGGACCTAGCACATGTACACCAGCAATAAGCCATAGCTCCTCTGATGCTAGTGATAATTTCTGTGCTCCCTGCCTCCACTTCAGCAACAGAAGCCACAACAGAAACTGCTTTCTGTTTTCCAGCCTGTCTTTAGAGGCCTGAGAACCACAGGGGTGTTTGAGGGACTTGAGTTCTATCTCGAGGCTGTAGAAAGCCAGGTGGGGACACAGTGGATAGCGGGACTGGCCCCCTGTGCACTTCTGTCTCCATCCCATCCTCCCTCCTTCGGCCTACCCAGCACCCCTGGGCTGGAGCTGCCCTGAGCAGAAGCAAGGCTGCATTCAGCAGGAGCCTTGCTCGTTGACCTTCTCAACACCATTGTCAGTTTGTTTGCAGCTTTGCTCCCCTGACTCACAGGCAGAAGGGCTCCAGCTGGCTACCCTGGGTCCAGGAGAGGAAGAGAAATGGCATCATCAGAAACAAAACCTTTGCAATCCAGAAGGCACAACCTGCCAGACCCAGTCACCAGTGTGAATTGTTTTCTCTGCATTGGGGCCTACAGAGGCAGCCTCCCTAGAGTCTTCTCAGCATCTCAGAACTGAGGTGTCCTTAACACTTTAGAGAAGATTCTCCACGCAGAAGGAACGCCTGTTCTTCCCCCTACCTTAACTTCACAGTAACTATGAGAGAAATTGCTGATGGGAGTTTATGGATTATGTGACTGG